CCCTGCCCACAGGACATCCTCCCTGTCTACACCTACAGCCCATGTATAGACTATGTCTGTGTGTATGATCCTGAGGAACTCACCACGTCCACTGATGAGTAGGACTCTGTTGTTGTTATAGTCCCCTATGATAATGTTCCCCACACTGTCATACACCACACCCCAAGGGTTAAATGGTTCAGCTCCTTTATGTGATGATTGTTTATATGTACTGGGGATGTCACCTTTATATACAAACAGTTCCTTGAAATCAGTGTCCATAACAATAACATGTCGTATCCCATCACCACCATCATCCTTATCATTCCAATCAACCACTGCGACATTGTGAGTGACAGGACACTCTGAGATCGTCCCTGGTGTACACACCAATGGCTTCCCAGTCACTGTAACACTTGTAGTGAGCACCATTTGACCTTGTGTGGTTAATTTGGAGATGTTGTTGGTCATCCCCACAATGACATGGTTACAGGCAGTAACACAGATACACATGGGTCTCTCCTTGGTGCTGAATCTATGTGACAGTCGTCCTGATACCAGCTCCATGATGTTGTTTTGTGTATCACAGACCCACAGTGTGTGTGTTGTTGGTGACAGACTTATGTCGTTGATGTCAGCTTTGTGTTTGACCTTCTGTATTACTTTCCCCTTCCTGTCCAGGAGAGTTAATGTTTTATTGTAATCACAGGTCCACACCTGACCATCAGTGGTGGGGCATATAGAATTAATAACAACAGGAGACTTCCAGTCCTCCAACACTTTGGTCTGTGACAGTAGTTTGTACATAGTCACTGCCTTCTTTCCTTTTGGTTCTGTCTGTTGTGATGTAGAGGATGGTTTCTGACCACCAGATGCCCCGACTGACCCGTCCTGGTCAGTTGAAGCCTGACCTTGACCTAAGGCGTCAATGTTCCCTAAGGCCAGTTCTAGGTGATGTTGAGGGGTTTTGTTTGGAGTGAAACTGGCAGTACCCAGGACAGGTTTTACAGGGAGACTTATTGGGGAATGAATTTCACATCCTGTGTCGTAGATTTCTATGTGAGAACCNTTGTGGTAAAGAGAGAGTGTCTGTGCTGTCAGCAAGTCGAGGTCTTGTTTTAATTTGTCTGTTTGCTTTTTCAACTTATTTGAAAGATCCTCAAAATTGCTCTTGTTGTCTTTAAGAAGTGTATCAGTAGATGTGATGTATTCCCTAAGTTGTACCAGGTCATTTTGTTCAGTTCTGTCAATAAAGTTTTGAATGTCTTGTTTCTTTGTAGGAGTAATATCGCTGAGTTCACAAACATCATGGCCTTTGTGAGTAGATAAAAGACATTTTAGACAAACAAGTGTATCACATGTTTCACAGTATAGTTCCAGTGGTCTCCCCTTGTGTTCAGTACAGGTACGGAGAGGGATTTGACCTACGGGTGTTGCCATGTTGATGAAAAAGTTGTGGAAGAGACAAGGAAGTTTATAAATAGACCCAAACAACTTGTCTATTATATATAACTGATATTGAATAACAGTCACAAAATAGACTTTATTTTATGTCTCTAAATCTTGACTTTACAGCGAGCTCCAATCCAGGCACATGTGTTCATAAAACATAATTGTAAAGACACTAAATCATAGCTACCTGATGATCACTGATGTGGATTACTAGGAGGAGAAATCCAGGTATTCCATTCCAAGCCTCAGAATGTCAACGTCAAGTAAACACAGGTACATATTATAGGTGTCTATATCCCAAGTATTTGATTCCTTGTCCAGGTATACATATTGTGTAATAAATAACTTGTTTTCTGTCTCAGAACTACGTTAAGGAGACATTTCTGTTTCATGTCTGTTGATAATACGATTTCTCATTGTTAATACAAAGTCTAAACTGATACGCCTATCCAGCATCACAAAGTCCACACAGAATACACCTATCAAGCAATACAAAGTCCAAACTACCCAGCCATCATTTATAATCTACCTGTGTAGGTGTTAATCTATTTAGAAAATATTACTTCCCTGTTGTGGACATCCTGTTATATACAGTAAAACCTTACCTTACTGACAACTGACTTTAATGACATCCTCTAATATACAGTAAAACCTTCCCTTATTGACACCTGATTTTAAGGACATCCTGTAATATATAGTAAAACCTTACTTCATTGACACCTGACTTTAAGGACATCCTGTTATATAGAGTAAAACCTTACCTTACTGACACTTGACTTTAAGGACATCCTGTACTATACAGTAAAACCTTATACCTTACTGACACCCGACTTTAAGGACATTCTGTAATATACAGTAAAACCTTACTTTATTGACACCTGACTAAAAGGACATCCTGTTATATACAGTAAAACCTTACCTTACTGGCACCTGATTTTAAGGACATCCTCTAATAAACAGTAAAGCCTTACTTTACTGAC